ATGGGGTGACGGAATCCACAACAGGAGAGTACCTTAGATGGGTAAAATCCTGTACTGCACCAGTAAACAGAGCCCCTCAGTCCTCTGATTTCTGCAAAAAGCCCATGGATGGGATTGATTTGCAGGGGTCCAGTTTTAGGGGCTGAAGTGTACCCCCTAGAATTTGTCCACCGAAGCTCTTGCCCCTCAGAATACGGCTGTGATTGGAGATGGGGCCTTTAATAAGATAAGTCAGTTAAGGTGGGATCCTTAGCGGGGGCCCTTATGCAACTGACTGGGGCTCCCAAAGGAAGAGGTGATGAGGACACAGACACACACAGAGAAATGGCCGTGTGCGGACACGGGGGAAGATGCCGTCTCCAGGCCGCGGGAGGCCGAGGGTGAAACCAGCCCTGCCACCACCTTGACTTCGGACTTCCAGCATCCAGGACTGTGAGGGAACAAATCCCCGCGGTCTAAGGTGCCTGTGCTGACTCACACCCGGGGTGCCTGGTGATCTGGGGCACAGCCCCCGCCGCCCCTCACCCTGCCCTCCACTCTCCACCTGGCAGACACAGGCTGAAGAAGGCTGCAAAAACAAGGCAATGAAGCACACGCTTTGTCTAAGGCCTTTAAAGTGGCGGATTTCCCCAAGTAATTTTTCAGAGAGAACACTGGCTTGAAAAGGGCTCCCTCCTATCCTTCCCGCCCCAGTGTGTAGGGAGAGTCCTGTGGGAGGACTCTGTGGGCACAGCGGTGGCCCCTGGTCTGCTGAGAAGCCACGGCTCACATGGAGCTGCAGTGGGCAAGACCAGTGGGTGAGAAGGTAAACCAGGGCCTGTGGGGATCTGGGGCTCTGGAACTGCCAGGGCACGCCATCAGCCACGGGCCAGCCCTCGGACCCTGTGCCTCCTCGGTCCACTGACGTGCAGGCTGCATGGTGGTTAACAGCTGGGTTCCTGGCTACTGGGTTCAGCCACACCCTTGCTGTTCAACCTCCAGAGAGTAGTTTCACCTCTCTGAGCCTCCGTTTCCTCCCACCTCAAAGGGTTGTTGCTCCATTGAATGAGATGATGCAGGTAAGCAGATGGGGCCCTGGAGGGGCGGGGGGCTTGGAAGACGCTGGGGAGGATGAGTGCCCAGCGGCAGGGAGCAGGGAGGGACGGGGACTGGGGGGACTCCCAGCTCACAGCACCTGGCCCGGCCTCCCTCACCTACCTTCTCATCTGAGCTTCACAGGGACTCCCCAGAGGTCAGTTTCTTCACCTCCAATTCACAGATGGCAAACTGAGGCTCAGAGACAGAATCCTCCAGCCCAGGGTCACGTGGCTAGTGACTGGTGCTGCTGGGATTCGAACAGAAGTCTGTGTGACTCTGGAGTTGGCCTGGTCCCAGGACATCAGCTGAAGGATACAGCTGCAGCCTCAGGTGCCCGGATGTAGGTTCAGGGCATTCTCCTTGGGCAGTGAGAGGGAACTCCTCCCCTACATGGGACAGTGTGAGGCAGCTCCAGCCGCTCTGCCAGGCCCTCCTGAGCCCACTTCAGCACCCTGTGGACTATGAATGCTTAGAGGGCAAGCAGACATCTGCCTCCAGGCACCCCATGAGGACCTGTTCCTCCACCTCCTCCACGGAACTAGGAGAAGGACAAGAAGGGAGAATTGGCTGCCCCTTGAGGCCTTTGTCTTGGGAAGCGGCTGGCCATTTTCCAGCCAGGCATGACTCTGGGAGGCTGGTGTGGTCCCTCAGAAACAGTGATGAACCATCATGTCCACGTGAAGGCAACACTTGATGCTTGCCATGGCTGCTCTGTCCAGACCACAGCTTTGCCACCAGAAAAATAAGTGAGAAGAAACACAGCTTCAGAAGGAGAAGTTGGGCCATCAGACTCCAGGTGTCAGGTGCAGGGCACCTGGCCTGTCCCACGCTCTGCTGGGCAGTGTGGGAAACATGCAGTGATGGGCATTGGCACTCCTGGTGGGCCAGGGGTGCACAGGGCACGGGACCTGGTTAGACTTAAGCAGCAAGTGCCGTGAGCAGGAGCAGGTATCCAGGGAGGGCTAGATGGGAAGCGATGGATAGAAGATGAGGAAGACACACATGGAAAGCAAGGCAGCACCTCTGTACGGGTGTGGGAGTCACTGCTGCATTGCAGGTCAATGTGGAGGGGACCCAGGCGCCTTGCTCTGGGCCTGTGACCTGCACACCTGTGTTGGCAAGGAGTGTGCGTGCAATGAACAGTTCTCCAAGGTCGCTCGCTCAGTCAGTTGTGGGATGGCATGGAAGATGGTGACGTTTGGGACAATCTGCACTAGTCACTGTTGTCTGAATCTGGGCAGGGTTGTCCTGGCGACAGGCGTGTGGTCCAGATGCCACGGGGAGGCAGGGAGTGCACATTGGGCTCCAAGCACCGGAGACCTGGGTCCAAATCTGGACCGTATCACGGATGAGCTGGTTCCCTGGGTAAGTCGCCTACCCTCTCTGGCCCCTGATTTCCTCATCTGGGGACCGGAGACATGCCCATATTCCCTACCGGTACATGAGGACTGATGCCCGTGTGGGTGAAGAGTGTGAGGCACCAGGCCAAGCACAACAAAGGCCTTAAGATGTGGCTGATACTCTCAGCTGGGCACCAGAGTTCGAATCTTGATGGCTACTGCCAGGTCCTTCCTCCGTAGTCCGGGGCTGAGACATCAAGCCACCGAGCCTGGAGACTTCTCTCTGAGTTTCCTGGTGGGATAGAAGCTGGTCTCTCCACCGAACTCAAGGCTCAGGTGAGGGTGGAAACTCACATTTGTCACTTTGCAAGCTGCCACACCATGTGCTCTCCGAGAGCACGGCTGCTGAGCCGCAAGCCTGAGCCAGCTTACCGTTGCTGAGAAGTCAACTTTTGGGGGACCTTGGGGTGGTCACTTGAGTATCAGCTCTCAAGGCACCAGTTATATTAATTCAGGCCAAAGTTTAGATGCTGGCTCTGAGTCACAGGAGGGCTTGCTGCTGGGCACGGATGTGGGCATGAGGCTGTCAGAAAGGAGCCCCACTTGCGCTTGGAGAAAGATAACATCCCCCAAGCTGGAACCAGAAAGCCTGCGCTCTCTTCAGATAACCGGGCCACGGCCTGGGTCAGTACCCCTGGTCTTCCGGGAAAGCTGGCCTTCTTGCTGGTGGGGCTGGGGCACTCCAATGACCAAGCACAGCTGGGGAGGGCTGGGAGGGTGGGGCTTGATGGAATTTCTCATTCACTGAAGGGCACAGGGAAGTAAAGGCCCAGTGGCTGCAGGTTGACCAACACACAGACACACACACACACACTCATGTGCACAACTCACACACATTTCCCCTCATCACATATGCTTACACAAGTTGTAAACAAACAAAACTAACACAATTTGTTGAAAAAAAAAACTAACACAAGAACAGAAAACCAAACACCGCAAGTTCTCACCGGTAAGTGGGAGCTGAACAGTGAGAACACATGGGTACAGGGAGGGAAACATCACACTCTGGGGCCTCTCGGGGGGGGGGGGGGGGGAGGGAAAACCATTGGGAAAATACCCTAATGTAGATGACAGGTGGATGGGTGCGGCAAACCACCGTCGTACGTGTGTACCTATGTAAACAAACCTGCAGGCTCTGCACATGTATCCCAGAACTTAAAGTGAATAAAAAGTGAAGTAACACGGAAATAGAAAAGAACTAACATTTGCTTTACTGAATGCATCTCAGGCACCTGCCCACGTCTGTGTGTGCAGAGCTTCTCATTTTTTTCCTGTGAAATATTTGATACCTACATGAGTATATGTGGCAGATACGGAGACCATAAGCCTCGTCCCCAAGTTAGCAGCAGCAACCTGTCACCCAGCTCTGAGCCTGCCATGGCCATCCCAGCAAACCTAACCTCGGAGGACTCCCTCACCTCCTGTTTCCAGAATGTTGGGAATTAAAGAGCATTTGAGGAATTTCACGCCCAGTCTGGAGACGCAACTGGAGTGGGGAGTCCCAGCCCCGTCTGGCACCCCTGGCTAAATTGTTTGTTCAAAGGGGATGGGGATGGCCCAGGGTTTGCAAAGACTTCTTAATTCATTTTGATTTCTTCCTTTTAAAAAACGAGCCCCGCAGCCATTGGGGGGTGTGGGTCAGGCTTCAGGGGGCTGTGCAGGGAGGCCAGTCCTGGGGAAGCCGGAGGGAGAGACGCCCACCCACCACCCAGAGAGACTGGTGGGCCTCTGGCTGGAGGAGACCCCTGAGGGGCTTAAAGAAGCCAGGCAGGAGAATCAGGGCCCCAGCGCTTCCTTCTCCCTGTGCCAGCTGTCACTCCCATGGGGATGTCTTCTTTGGTTTCCTTTTTAGTGCAGAGGGGCCACCAGGGAGTGGGCAGGCGTGAGGGGTGGGGGCCTGGGGGCTGCAGAGCCAAACCCAGCTTGATTAATAACCCAGATGTTCCCGTCCAAGCACACCGGGAGCCCTTGGGAAGTCAGACCCCACCTCGGTCCCAGGCCAGTCTGCAGTTAGGAGGCAGGTCCTCGGTCCGGGTTGACACGTAGGCCACAGTCTTGGGCGCCCTGATCTGGCTGGGGATGGGAAGTTTAGTCTCCACCCAGAAGAGGAGCTCTGAACTCCCCACGTTGAAGGAAAAGTTAGGCGGGGTGAGCTGCAACTTTCTTTTTAACTCGAAGTGATCAAACTTCGGGGCCCCTCTGCACCGGTTCTTGGAGCTCCGCCAGGTGCGGGCACCCGGGGTGGGAAGAGTGGGGGACCCGAGTGGGCCCCTGGGCTCGGAGGCCGCCCCAGGCCCGCCCGCCTACCGGCTCGCAGAGAAAGAAGAGGGGGCCGCGCCCGCCCCAAGTCGGCTCCGCCCCGGGCCAGCCCCTTCCCCGCCGCGACTCGCCCGCTGTCCCCACCCCCTCGCCCGCGGCGCCCAGTGGGAGGCGGGGGCCGGCCTCGCCGAGCCCAGTGCCGGGCTCTGATTTGCTGCGGGCGAGGGGGATCGACAGCCTCCGCGACTGCCTTCCAGGAGAGAGGGAGGGAGGAACAGGGGGGAAAAGTGCTCGGCGCCCAAGGCGAGCCCCGCACTCTCCGTCCCCGCGGCTGGCGCAGGACCTCACTCGAGCGGAGCGCCCACGGGGAGCGGGTCGCGGGGCGGCGGCGGCGAGGAGGAGGCGAGAAGGAGTTGGAGGAGGAGGAGGAGGAGGCGAGGGCCAGCGAGCCGAGCGGGGTCCCGGCCGCCCCGCGGGCCAAAGTCGAGCCCTCCCGCCCGTGGGCGAGCGCGCCAGCCGCCCCTTCCAGAACAGCCGCCGCCACAAAGAAGAACGGGGGGTGCCGAGGTCCCCATGACCTCCTAAGCGGTGCGGTCCCCGCTGAGCGCGCTGCCCGGGCCGTGCCCCGCGCCCCCGTGCGTCCCCGCGCGCCACCGAGCGCCCCTGTGCGCCCCGGCCCGCGCCCCGCCGGCATGGACGTCCATACCCGCTGGAAAGCGCGCAGCCCGCTCCGCCCGGGCTCCCCGTTGCTGCCCCTTCCGCTGCTGCTGCTGCTGCTGCTGCTGTGGGCGCCGCCTCCGAGCCGCGCAGGTAAGAGCGCCCCGGGGCGCGGGGCTGCGGGATGGGGATGGGGATGGGGCGCGCTCGGCTCGGGCGCCGCTGTCATCCCCGGGCGCCTTCGCCCGCAGAACTTTTCTTCCTTGGCCTGTGGAATGCACGAATGCCATTTGCTGGGCCCCCCCGAGATGACGACACGCAGCTACGATGCCCGCGGGCGCGCCGCCGCCCCCTCCCCAAGCGCGCGGGCCGGGTGGGGTTGTCGCGCGAGCCGGAGGAAGGGCCGAGAGCTGGATCCGCAGGAGGGGTTGTCCACGAGGCGGGCAAACTTTTGTCCCGAAACCTTCCTTCTGTGTCCCACATCCCAGGAAAGCCCAGCTTGGGCCCACACAGCCCTACAGCAGAACTTCCTCTGCTCAAAACCGGGCAGGGCCGCCCCCTAGAGTCACAGCCCTTCAAATCCCGGGACTCCTGGGGGTGGGGGGATTCCCAGAAGCCTGGCCCCCAGCACTGAACTTCCCCCAGGCACGCTCGCTCGAGGCTGGGCCGGCGCCCGGCTTCCCCCGGGGACAGCGGTTCCTGCAGCCTTGGTCACCTAAGTGTTGGGGGCTCTGGGGACCCCTGCGGGGTGGTAGACAGCCCTGCCCCTAATCCCACCCCCAAACTGCTTGATCCCAGGAAGGCAGCTTTTCCTGGGTTAGCTGCTGAGGGACTGGAAGCCTGGAGCAAAGCCAGAGAGATGGGCTTGCAGGCGGGGCTCTGAGTGGTTGCGATGATATGCAGATGTGGGATTTCTTCTGCCAAGGGTCAGCCCTTAGAAGGAGCCCTGCTTCCCTGGGAGGGTGCTGTTAGGCGGGGGCTGTCTGCGTCGCTGCCTGGGTTCTCCAGGCTTCAACTCTCCCTGGCGCAGCTTCCTGACAGGGGACTTTTTCTAGGTATCACTCTTGGTAGTTAATGGTGGGGTGGGCTTTCACAGACCCTCGAACATTGGAGTTCCCAGCTCGGGAAGGTCCCCTGAATTCTTATTGACAAGTGGGGAGATGGAGGCTCAGAGCCGTGCGCTGCCAGATCAGGAGAAGTGGCAGGCAGAGCAATGGGACATTGGGCTCAGCGGATGCTGGACCAGCCCTCTGCCTGCCGGCGAGAGTGCTTCTCTCTGCTTCACGATTGGAAGACAAGTGGGAAGAATGATTGTCTGTGTTCCGCTTGTCAATTAAAATACTCTTTTCCTTTTTCCTGGCACGATGAGTGCTTGTTGGGCTAACTGGCTGAGCTGGAGTCAGGGTGTGGGGGCTGCCCTGTGGCTCTGGGGGAGGAGCCAGGAGCCTGGCTTGGCTCCCAGGACCTGGGCTCTCATCCCTGGGCCGCCACCGACTCTCTCCTGACCCTGCGCTCACTGGGCTTGTGTTTCTCCAGGGGTCATTTGAAGGTGGGGGACAATAGGGGTCCCCAGAAAGATGGAGAGGAGAAAGAAGGTGTGGTCAGGGATCGTGCCATTGCCGGGGGATGGACCCTGTCTCAGCGCCTCTGAGGGCTTTCCCCAGAAACTCGGGAGGGAATCCTTGGGGTAAATTGTCACCCTAGACAGCTGGGGCTGGGCACTGGCTGGGGACCGTGCACTGGACCGGGCTTGAGGAACCATTTCCCTCCCTGCCTCCTGCCCACCTCCTACCTCCATGCTGTCATTCCCTCTCTGGTTGCCCTCGATAACCGAAGTGCACCTCCTTGGAAGTGGCAGTGTGATGATGGCCCAGCGCTGCTGGCTATAAAGTTGGACATTTCGCTTTTGTCAAAACCGAGTTTTGGAAGCATGTGAAGAGGCCACATTTCTTGGTGGGTTTTGCCAATGTCTCTCCACCTCCCAGGGTGGGACCTATTTGGAAGGCGTCCTCCGAGCGTGGCCAGAGCGGGTGGCTGTCCGCTGGAGATGCAGGCGCAGCCAGGAGTCACCGGCAAGTGCCTGCCCTCTTCTCCATCTTCAGCTTTGCCAGATGTTTCCCAAGGGTTTTCTGAACACGGCTCTTTTGCCTGCCTTCTTTTGGCCAAGTGTGTGAAGGAATGAAAAGTAAGATTGCATTTGGGGCTGCTGAACAGTGTAACGGGGAAGGAGAGTATGGGAAATGAAACATGACCCCAATATTTGGAAATTGAGGTCATCTCCTCTACATGCCATTGGTTGACTCCAGTCACGTGACTGCTTTTTGCAATAATTTGTGGGGAGAGTCGGCCAAGTTTTGTGAGACTTGACAGATATCAAATGGTTAAATTTCCTCTGACTCAATCGAGTTGGCTGGAAGGACATCCTTTTCCATCCTCTGCCCCCTCCCTCCCTCTCCCCATAAAAGAGCAGTGAGTGGGAGGAGCTCAGAAGCCCCAAGAATTCCCCAAGCCCTCTCCCCGCCCTGGTCCAGATTTGCCAGAGGGGTTGGAGTTTTGGTCGCCACCCAGGGCTGTGCCCACCCAGCAGTGCCGTGGCCCCAGGCAGGGGCGTGTTCCCAGTGCCAGGCTCACAGCAGCTTCTTCTGGGATGTTACCCCTGGGCTGCTCCTGTGGGGCTGGCCAGAGCCTGTTCCTCACCCCGCCCTGCAGATATTTCTGGACTCCCCACCGCCACGCCTTAGCCGAACACAGCTGGTGCTGCCCGTCCCGCCCTGCCTTCGCGCTGCCTGGCCTGTCTGCCTGCCCTGCCTTCTCCCTGGACCGCCCCGTCCCACTTCCCGGGAGACAGACCTTGATGGGTGGAGCAGGGGCTGTGCGGAGCAGTGAGCTGCCCTGCTGGAGGGCTGGGATGAGTCCCCAACGCTTCCCGAGGGCACCCACATGGGAGTCCCAGCGAAGCTGCATCTGGAGCAGCACCCCGTCACGTGACATGGCTCTGGGAACGGTCTTGGGAGACAGTTACACAGGGGAGTGGAGGGGCTGGCACTTGCCTGGCCTGTGGTCAGCGGCACCATCACTGCATCCTCGCCTGGGCCTGAGAAGGGACAGAGCCTGAGGAGGCCGGGAGCAGGGATGCCAGGCAGGTGTCTTCCCTTCCTGCCTCGGGGCCCTCAGACGGCATCCGCCCTCCACCTGGCGTGGTCACTCTTTGACTTGTCAGAGTTCCCTCTTCTCCCTTCCCAAGGGTTTATCAGCTCTCCCCGGGCAGAGGGCCAGGGCCCTGAGCTCGAGTTCCAGCCTGGGGGCCCAGTCCAACAGGGTCCTGGGGGCAGAACCATTCCGTTTGGCCAACAGTGTTGCAGTTCCTTTCTTCTTCCTTCCTCCTCCATCCTTCCCTCCCCCCTTCCTCCCTCCCCCCCCCCCATCCCCTCCCTTCCTCCTCCCCCCTCCCCCCCCCCTCCCTCCCTCCGACCCTCCCATCCCCTTCCTTCCTCCTCCATCCTTCCCTCCCCCTTCCTCCCTCCGACCCTCCCATCCCCTTCCTTCCTCCTCCATCCTTCCCTCCCCCCTTCCTCCCTCCGACCCTCCCATCCCCTTCCTTCCTTCCCTTCATCCCTCCCCCCTTTCTCCCTCCGACCCTCCCATCCCCTTCCTTCCTCCTCCATCCTTCCCTCCCCCTTCCTCCCTCCGACCCTCCCATCCCCTTCCTTCCTTCCCTTCGTCCCTCCCTCACTCCTCTTTTTACTCCAGTGCCTTCAGGAGGGATGCAGCAGCCGCTGTCCCCACCACTCACTCTTGGCCACCCAGGCCTCTCCGAGCATCTGCATCACTTGCCTGGCTGCTGAAGGCTTTGGCCTTTTCACCTGGGCTGGGCCTATCACGGGGAGACAGAGGCGAATGGGAGGGATCCCCGTTTCCCTCCAGGAGCTCACGGTCTGACAGGCGGACTCTGTGAATTTTACTCAGGGGCCCACGTGGGATGTGCTGGGTCTTGTGTCCGACAATCTGGGAGGCTTAACTGCACTGGGGAGAGCTGGGGAGCTTCCTGGAGGAGGCGGTGTGACACTGGCCTCCCCTCCTCTTCTTCCTTTTATTGCAGAAATGAACCTCCTCAGTGGGGTCCTCCTCCACCTCTGGCCTTCACCTGGCCCTCTTCCGTCCTTCCTGACAGGACATTCCACATCGTGTCCCCCAGCTATCCTCAGTGTCTCCCTTGGCTGGAAAGCCCCTCGTTCATGGGCTTGGCAGGTGCCCCCAGCACCGTTTGTCAGGAGAATGCAAGTGCCCACAAAGGACGTGGCAGATCCCGGGACCTTCCTTAACCCTTTCTCTGCCCCAGTCCCCCTGCATCCCTTCGGTGGGGCTGTGGCGACACCGTGAGCCTGGTCTGCACAGCTCTGCAGACAGCACCACAGCTGTGCCTCAGGATGTGGGGGCCTCTGGTGATGATTTTGGGTACCTGTGCTGGGTGGCAGGTGGTCTGATGTGGGAGGGGACATTCCTTGGCAATCAGATTACTGAACCCCAGGTCAGCAAGGTCGGTGTGAGGCCGGAGCTGAGTTTCCCCTCCTCTGGGGAGCCGTCGGGTGGGCTGGGAGGGGCAAGTCACTGCGCCCTAGCTTCCTCCCCTGAACATGGGTAAAACTGCATTTCTGGCTTTGAGGCATGGCTGTGAAGATGGATGGAGACCACACCTGTGAGCAGCTTTGCGGACTGCTGACCTGTACTCAGCACTGGCTCTGTGGGGGCATTCCCATCACCTCCGTCTTCCGTAGTGCTTTTACAGGAGGAAAGAGCAGTGTCCCCACAGCCCTCTTTAGATGTAGGTGTCTCAGAAGCACAGGCGAAGAAGGTGCGCCTGTGGAGGGTCTGGCCCTGCCAAGCCCCCCCGGGACTCTGCTGTCGTCGGCTCAGCCGGTCTGCGCTGCCCCCTTGACTTCCTTGGCCTCAGTCCTTCACTTTCCCACGGAGCCTCATGGGGTCATCGTCCAGGCCATGGGACGTGATGCACGTGAAAGGCTTTAGAAGCCAATTCCAGGGTTGTACTCAGGTGTGCATTGTGTGTATGTGTGTCAGGCCGTGTGCACGTGTGTGTGATGTGTGTCTCCGTGTGATTTGTACGCACGCCCGTGGTTGTGGGCGTACATGTGTAT